CTTTTATCACTATGCTTTTGCCAAATACCACACGCCAAATACCAGATTTGCATGGTTATACTAAACGAGATATTTTAATCCAATTACTACTGAATTAATACTAAAATATCAAATAAACAATTAACGGTGTCTTTTGGTTGCAAATATTGATATCACCATTACTATTAGCTATAATACTTTACCAATTATGATTAATTACATAACAAGTTTGCAAGTCATACAAATTGATTTAACATTTTGACTAGTTTTTTTCAAAAAAATAAAGTATATATATACGAGGTAGAAATAAATTGGTTAAAAAGTTGAGAAAATATTTTAAATTAGTGTAATAAAATGTGTAAGTTGGTAATGAGTAATGAGTTAAGTTACTTGATGCGCTGGCCCGAACAACCCGAAACCCGCCCGACCCAAAACCCGATGAACACGCAACCCGATTGAACCCGAACCCGATGAACCCGAACCCGATGAACCCGAACCCGAACCCGCAACCCGTTTGAACCCGAACCCGATTGAACCCCGCCCGAACCCGCCGATTCACACCTATAGAGGTACATACCCAATTTTGAGTTGCTACAAGGGTATATTCGCCTTCACAAACCAATTTACGGTCCCTCCTTCAACAACCTTTACAGAACACTCTTCAAGTATCACAACCACCTTCCATCTCCTCCATCCACTCTATTTCCAACCAGTTTTTGCGACAACATAAACCCTAGAAATTGGGGGAATTGAAGGAAGACCGTCGAAGACTAGCGGAATTTGGGGAATACGAGCACCGAGACACAATCGACTGTTGCTTTTTGAAGAGGAATCATCGTCAACCCCACAATCATAGTCACCGATGTCGAAGGATGGAGGAATTTCGTTGACGAGAGGAGAAATCTTAAACAATATCGAAGGTGGTTGGTTCGACAGTCAGTCGTCAATGAATTGAAGCCTGCGACGCTGCCCCGACGACGGCCAACTGCCGATTCCGAACTCCACTACAAGCTCGACGACGATCTTGTTCTCTGTTAGTTAGGTTTGGGGAGCTTTTCGAAGGTAGAGAAGGAGAGAATTGGGAGCAATGAAAAAGAAAGCCACTTCTTACTTTTCTTTTTTACTCTAATTTTTTTATTTAGCATGTCATCAGTCAATGTTTGAAGGTAAAAAAATAACGAATTTGGTTAACATACATTAAATTTGGGGACATAAATTACGCAAAACAAATATAGAAGTATAAATGACCTAAGCTTAAACTATAGACCCCTGGTAGTAGGCTTTTTTAATAGAAACGGGTAAATTAACCTTTTTGCCTAAGATGAAATTAGGATGAACTATTATCATCACGATCGATCTCGATGACCACGTAACATTTGAGCTATTCCTGGCAAAAACCGCTAGCTGTGAGATGGCAACAAAACTCGAACCCACGGGTACTCACCCGACCCAATCCGGTCAATGCGGGTAAAATCCGTGTTGACGGGTTTTGGGCCGGGTTTGGGTTTAAACCCATTCACTATTCACCGGGTTGGGTTGGGTTTGGGTTTAGGTAAACCCGACCCATGGGTACCCGACTACACCCATATAATTAATTTTTCGGTATATTTAATATTCTAAACAACTAATCTTATTTATGTTTGTGGAGACATGTCTAATTTTTTCTTTCAAATTGTGTAGAATGAAGTTGATGTTATCTAGTGGAGAGTGAAGAAACTTAATTGAAAGGAAGAAGCTTTCAATTAATCATGTTATTTATGGATAATTTGTGATTTGCTTCAATTTTCTTGAGTTTTCTAGATTGGTGTTGAAAAATTTGTATAGTTAATTTGTGATTTGCTTGAATTTTCTAGAATGGTGTTTTAAATATGGATAATTTGTATTAAGAGGTTGATATTTGACTTTAATTTTGATAGGAACTTGTTATTGTAAATTTTTTACGACAAAACCCGTGGGTACCCATGAACCCGCGGATACCCAGCGGGTTGGGTTGGGTTTGAGTTTTTCAAACCCAGTGGGTTTTACCCTGGGTTTTTTTCACGGATAAACCCATGGGTTTGGGTTAGCAAAACCCGACCCAACCCGACCCATTGCCATCCCTAGTGACATCGGATGTAGTGTAGACGCCGGAGTCTTAACTCCGCGGAAGCAGGTTTTGAATTAGTTTACCGACAATCGGTTGGGGCAGTGAACTCCCGGAACAAGCGGCAAGTTACTTAGTATATATATATATCTCACTCCATCCATAAAGCTTGATTATGAGTTAACCAGTTTGCAGAGCGAGAGCGGGAGCGATAGCGAGAAAAAAGCGTCTATTTTTTCAAGAACTCAATATTGAGAGAGTGAAGAGAGCGTTAATATTATATTATTTTTAATACATATAATTAATAAATATAATTTTTTAAATAATGTTCATAAAAAAAAATGAGAGGTGTGAGAGGTGCTCTCTCCTCTCTCCTCCTTCTGTGTGCCTGGTTTGGCCGCCGTCTCTGGTCGGCGCTGATCGCCTGCCTCTCAGCTAGCTTACGCAATCAGAAGAGCTTCGGCAAAGTGAAGGAACGGCTGGCCGGTGGGGGATGGCATGGACTCAACCGGGATTGTCTGCCGGCAACGCAGGGGCCCTCGGAGGTGAGGCCGAAGTGTTCAAAAAACCGATTTGAGATCCATAGACGTGTTCTCTTAAACTCGGGTAAAAACAAAAGAAGATTTTCAGATCCGAGGGACGAAATAGAGCTCTCGGAGTTTGTTCCAGTGAAACGATGCAGAAAAGGGGCACCAAAGGGGTGGCGATTTTGGCTTCCCCCCTCGTCTGTTCTGGATGGGGTTTTATCGCCTTCGGGCTCGATCCCTTTGAAATAAGAACATCAACCTGAACCCGTAATGGGTCTAATACAAATAAGTCGCGGGTCTATCTGCGATAAACCCTTAGGGGAAGAGGGTCCTGTACTGCCGACAAAAGATGGCCCGAGTATAAGTTCAGTGAACCCAGATGGTTATGCCGGCAACGTTTTCCGGTCGCAACTGATTGATCAGAGCATAAGGTCCGTGAACCCAGATTGTTGCTCCGACAATTGTTCCCGGTCGAAACTGAATCCTGCCGAATTGAGCTCGAAACCCCGAATCAATCAAATCGTAACGGTGCGACGGAGATTCGGCCAGGATTCCCCGGGTTTGGGGGGTGGGATACTACTTGGTATTATCTCGTCCAGAAAACAAAAAAAAAACCAAAAACTAATCACCAACTAGAGAATCCGATCTTAACAGATTTTGGGATTCCTAGCTCGTTTAGACTTCTAAGAGAGGGGTCTGGATGGCAAATCGGGCGGCCCTTAAAAGGAGCTCATTCTCCTACTGTCTCGTATAACTCTGTTCCTCACCCTGGGTTTCGTGTAGCTGAAACACCTAGAGAGACCGAAAGACGAGAGGCGCCGCTGCTATCCACGACCGCCACCGATACTTTCACAGGTATAGTGAATGATTCCTTAGTTTCATTCCCCTGTGCGAGTAATCCTCTTTTCCCCTCTCTGCCATCTAGCATTCACCCCTCCTCCTGCTGTGTTCCGTGGCTGACATATGTTCAGGAGACCACTAACTGGGGGTTAAATCCTCCATTGTCTGATCCTCCCTCTCTTTTACAGGGGTTAACAATGGCTCGCGCAGCTGTCGATCAGGTTGTCGAGTTTTCCCTGGAAGAAGTCCAGTCAACAAATTTCCGGGCATCCCGGACGCTGCTGGGACGTATGTTCACGGAGAGCCAACTCACAACCGTGGAGATCAGGGAGGAGATGCTTGAGGCCTGGAAAATTAGGGGCCAACTTCGGGTCAGCCGTACCAAGCATGGGCTGCTGGAAATTGTGTTACCTAGTGAGGAAACCAAAATTTGGATTTTGAAACGGACCCCCTGGGTGATCAAGGATAAGCTGATAAATCTTCGCTCTTGGACGCCAATGATTAGTAAGCAAATCTTTGATGAGCTTGCTATCGCCCCTTTCCGCATTCAGATTTGGGGTGTGATAGAAGATTGCTATACTAAACAATTCGGCCAGAAATTTGTGGCTCCAACTATTGGCCAAGTCTTAGAATCTGGAGTGTTTGCCAGCAAGGATACGGGGGAAAGCTTTGTGAAAGTTTGGGCTCTGGTTGATTTCTCGAAACCTTTGAGGTCTCAACTCATGGCAGTTAGTAAAGACCTGGATGATTTCTGGGTTCGACTGAAATATGAATTTCTCCCCACTTTTTGCTATCACTGTGGTCGCTTGGGGCATTCACGTCGTGAATGTTCTTTCGACCCTCCAATTGGTAAGGAGAGATTCGGTCCTCACATGTCTACAAGGAAGCTTGGGCGCAAAATTTACGATGACTTGGAGGGACCTACAAGCTTCAAAGGAAATCGTGGTACAGTCTGGATTAATAGGCATGTTCGCCAACAATTGGATGGTGCTGGAAAGGCAAGTAAAGGCAGTGGGCCGGGTACCCAGACGGGGGAATCTGAAAGAAAGAACCATGGCCCATTTCGGGCGACTGGACAGGCCCAAAATCGTGAGGTGGATGTCCCTAAGCCCACCTCGCCTAAGCCTGTATCAAAGCCGAGAAACAACCACCCTAGCCCAAGGGGGTTTCTAGTCCGTAAATCACCTGTCCCCCGCATTAATGGTGGGTCTCGTAAAGTGCAGCGGCGAAGCCCAACGGGAGGACAAACTGGCCCACTCGAAACCAATAGCAAGACCAGGCCGAGGAAGGCCCATCAGGCCCAGCATCGGGAAGGTGGAGTGACCCACTCCTCGGTCCAGGCGGCCTCTAAAGAACCAGAACCCTCTGCAATGCACACAGTGCTGGAGCAGACGAGGCGTCGCCGCCTGATCCTAGAGGATGACTCGGAGGATGATGCGATCAATCTGGTCCCTGTTGCATCCCCGGGGTCGAGCAGAGAAGAGAGAAACACTATGCACTGAGTCCATGACGGCAGGTCGGGCAATGAAAATGGTAAGCAGCCGATTTTGAGGGAGGAAGCTGATTCACCAATGAAGGCGAAGGCGGGGGCTTCTAGTAGCCGGCCAAGGCAGGTGCGCGAAGACCACCAAACTACCCTACTGCCTTCTGTTAGGCGTAAAGGAAAGCTTTCACTTGGAGGCCCTCCTCTGGGTGCGAGAGCCTATAAAATGAAGACTCTTGGTGTAGGCAGAAAGGGTGCGCAGGAGGAAAGCTCCTCCCCTGTCTTGTCTGATGGCGAGAAAGTGGGTAATGGGGACATCCCAAATACAGACCCAGTTATAGAAGACTCGGACTCAGAGGAAGATGAGCTATGCTTTGAAATCAAGAAACGAGAACCGAAGAAGGCCGATACACTGTCAAACCAGTTCCCTCAAGCCATGTAAGCAAGTTTGTTGCAGCCCTTGAAGCTGGCCTATCCTTGGTCCAGGAGGATGGAACAGGCAGTAATGCCATTGAGAATTTGCCTATGGTTGGTGAACCGGAGGAGATGGCTGCTACTGGGTCGGGGTTGGATGAATATGGCTCTAACATGCCGCATCCGGCCTTTGATTCTCGTAAGCGTTTGTTGGAACTTGTCGAAGGGGATCTGAATGGTGCCCCTAGTCCGAAGAAACAATTTGTGGAAGTTGATGAAGACTCTGTCCAGGTGGGGGTAGCCAGCCTTGAGTGGCCCCAATCGGTTAAATGAAACTTCTGGCCTGGAATGTGAGAGGAATTGGACCATCCCTCACATTACAAACTGCTGTCGGTCTTGTTCGTTCTAATAAGCCGGATCTGGTGTTTTTTTCGGAAACACGCTCGAGACGGAGAGTTGTGTCTCGTCGTTTGCGTGGGCTAGGTTTTGAATCTTCTTGTTGTTTTTTTTGTTGATGCTATTGATACTTCTGGAGGGTTAGTTGTAGCCTGGTCTCCTGAGGTCTCGGCGTCGGTGTTTTTTCATTCGAACTTCTGTGTTTGTGTTCAAATTAATGAAATGGATTTCTCGTACGTTGCGATCTTTGTTTATTTAAGCTGTAATGTGGCCGTCCGTGCTACCCAGTTTGACCAGCTCCAGGCTGTTTGTGCTGATATCCAGCTTCCCTATGTGGTTTTGGGTGATTTTAATACGAATCTCTTTGAGGGCGAAAAAGATGGTGGTAACCACTGGAATACTGCGCAGGCTCTCGGGCTCCGGAATTTTGTTCACAACCTGGGGCTAATAGACCCTGGTTACCAAGGGGATCTTTTTACCTGGACAAACAAGCGGATGGGGGCGGCTTGTATTCGGGAGAGACTGGATAGGGCTCTGTGCTCCCAAGCCTGGCTTGATCGCTTCACGGATACCCTGGTTAAGCATTTTACGGATCAGGGTTCGGATCACCGGGCGATCCTCCTCTCTGATAAGCCATATGTTCGCCATACTCGACCCCTATTCCGGTTTGATGCCCGTTGGGCTGATAACCCTGAAGTACGGGCAATGGTCTCTTACGTTTGGCAGGAGGACATCCTAGGGACGCCGATGTTTCGACTTTGGGAACGCCTTAAGAAACTAAGTCATCTCTTATATGACTGGAGTAGAGTGGGCACCACCAATTCCCTTCGTAATATCAGAACGCTTCAAAGTGAAATTGAGCGTATCAAAATAATTCATCCTATTGATTGGGATGAGATCCGTCGTCTTGAAATTGAGTTGACTAGACAATGGGAAGTGGAGGAAGTTTACTGGCAACAGAAGTCTAGAGTCAATTGGCTTAAGAAAGGTGATAAAAATACGTCGTATTTCCATACGGTTACTCGAACACGACGTAAACGGAACTTTGTGGCGGGTTTGAGAGGGGATAATGGTGAGTGGGTCACCGATGAAAACGGGAAAGCGAACATAGCAACTTCTTACTATGGCCATCTTTTTACGACTGAGAATCAGGTCCTGAATATGAGGGAGCGAGTGGAGGCTCTGCCTATTGCCCGCAGTGTTACCCCGGAAATGAATGCTAACCTGACAGCTGCTGTCCTCCCCGCTGAGGTTCGTCGCACTGTCTTTGCAATGGGATCTAAGCAAGCTCCGGGGTCAGATGGTTTCACGGGTAAATTCTTCAAGGCTTTTGGGGGAATTGTGGGAGACTCGGTGATTGATGCAGTTTGCTCGTTTTTTACGACCAGTAAAATGCTCCGTAGCTTCAATCATACCTGGCTCACGTTAATTCCCAAAGTAGATAATGTGGAGTCTATGAAGCAGTTGCGCCCAATCAGTTTATGCCAATTCGTGTATAAAGTCATAACGAAAATTTTGGCTGAACGATTAGCAAGCCTCTTGCCACAAATTGTTTCGGAGGGACAAAATGCGTTCATTCGAGAGTGGCAAATCGTAGAGAATATCCTCCTTGGCCATGAGTTGATGCATTACTTGAAACTCAAAAAGCAAGGGAAGAAAGGGTACATGGCTCTGAAGGTTGACATGGAAAAGGCCTATGATAGAGTCGAATGGCCGTTTCTTCTTGCGTTGTTGGGTTTCAATTCAATATGGCGGGGTTGGATTCATGAATGCCTGCGATCTTCATCATTTTCAGTTCTGATGAATGGTACTCCGTCTGGCTACTTCACTCCTACTAGGGGGTTACTCCAAGGTGATCCGTTATCTCCTCTCCTGTTTGTGCTGTGCACGGAGGGATTTGCGGCCCTTTTGAAGAAGGCTATCGCGGATAATCGGTTAGCCGGGGTCAAACTTGCTCCGCGTGCCCCTCGAATTTTGCATTTGTTCTTTGCTGATGATTCTTACCTATTCCTACGGGGCATTCTCCAGGAATGTGAGACCTTGATTGAGGTTCTGAATGAATACGAGAAACTTAGTGGTCAGCGGGTAAATCCGGCTAAATCGGCGGTCTGCTTTAGCAAGAATATTGCTATGCCTGATCAAGAGTTCCTAGCCGCGATCTTGGGCGTAGGGGCGGTAGGAGTATGCGATAAATATCTGGGGCTCCCTACGCAATTTGCGCGTTCTAAAGTGGAGACTTTTCGATATCTGGAGGAAAAGCTGCTTGCTAGGCTTCAGGGATGGAAGCAACGAACATTGTCTTGGGCGGCTAAAGAGACTCTTAATAAATCTATTGCTTTGGCATTACCGCTGCATGTGATGTCTTGCTTCAAATTACCTCTCTCGCTGTGTCGCCTTTTAGACAAACATGTGGCTCGTTTCTGGTGGGGTGACAATGAGGGTCATTCTCGAATTCGGTGGATGGCCTGGAGGGATTTGTGTAAGAGTAAAAATGAGGGAGGGATGGGATTTTGTCGGTTTGAGCACTTCAATCAAGCTCTGCTGGCCAAGATTGGGTGGCGTATCATTATGGAACCTAATTCCTTGTTGGCCCAAGTCTATAAGGGTAAGTATTTCCCTTCGGGGCATTTTCTCACGGCTAAAGCTAGGTCTCGCCCGTCGTGGGGGTGGCAGAGTATCTTACATGGACGAGACTTACTGGAGATGGGGCTCAGGTGGCAAATTGGGAATGGGCGATCGGCGTCTCTGCTCCGATCCCCATGGATTCCCCAAATGCAGCTCGATCCTCCGCGGTATAACCCTATGGTGTTACCGGAAGGGGGCGATCCTACAGTGGCTGAGGTGATCTGCCAAGGGGAGGGTCGCTGGTGTGAGCTTAAACTCAGTCAATGGTTTGATCCCCCTACTTGCCGATTTATTAAGTCTATTCCTTTGCCGCGCCAGAACCTGGAGGATAGGTTGATCTGGCATTATACTCCGGATGGGGTATTTTCGGTTAAGTCTGCCTATCACTTGGCCGTTTTTCTCGAACACAGGATAATTCGATGGAAAGTGACGGTGAGCTGGATGGACAAGACTAGCTGGATCCGTGTATGGGATGCTAATCTCCCCCCAAAGCTGAAAGTTTTTGTTTGGCAGATCCTGAACCGGGTCCTTCCCACGACGGAGGCTCTCATTGCGAGGAAAATCCCTGTTCACCCTCGGTGCCCGGTCTGTTGGGGGGATCCGGAAACCATGGAGCATTTGTTTCTCGATTGCCCAGTTGCACGTGCACTTTGGGGCTATTCAGGATTGGAGTATTCCTTAAGAGGTTAATGGCCTTAATCCCTCAAGACGATCTTCTCATGCGAGTTGTGTCCATCCTATGGCGTATATGGAGATCTCGGAATTGGGTGGTATTCGAAGGCAAGCAGTATGATTTCTGGCTTTGATGCGCCAGTTTTCCCAGCAGGTGGAGGAATGGGTGGGATTGCCGATGGAGGCGTCCCCCCAGAATCCTCTTCCCGAAAGAATTCACTCTGGATTGGTGGAGCCTGCTGCTGGGATTGTATGCCACTGGGATGGGGCTACTAGGAAGGGGTCTCATTCGGCAGGAGGGTGGGTTCTCTACGATGGGATGGGGAATGTTCTCTTGGCTAGTGGGGTCCAGTTCCCTGGGATGGATGATCCGGCTGTGGTGGAACTGCTTGTGCTCCGGGAGGCTGTTCTGTGGTGTTTGGCTCATGGTTTCACGGAGGTAAGGTTTGAAGGGGACGCTAAAGTGATCATTGATAAAATCAACAAGGCGGATACTCGAGATAACCAACTGGGAGCTGTTCTGGAAGAGGTAGTGCACGCTGTTGGTGGTACCCCTGGTTTTAGTGTTCGGTTCATAGGTCGGCGTAGAAATAGGGTAGCCCATTTGGTGGCTAGAAAAGCCCTTGCTTTGTACCCGACTTTGAGTCGTTGGTTTGACTTTCGTACCCGGTTGTTGTCCAGGATGTAACTATCTTTTTGTTGGATAAATATATGATTATCTTTTGTCAAAAAAAAAAATCCAAGACCTAAAATATTGTCAATGTATGTGTTAAATTACGCTAAGTTATTCGGTTAAAAAAATTATATTAATATTGTGTAACGAAAGGATTATTGCAGAATAAAAGAAAAAACGTAGCCCATAAATTGGATTTTTTTTACAAAGATATTCCAAATCGGAATGATAGATGCGAAGATAGTCAAAATAGATGAAATTCCCAATATAAAATAGGATAGAGATGATAGTCGACTAGAAGTCGAACTATTGATAAGAGAGCTTTCTATGCCACGAGATGAGCAACTCTTTGTTAACTCAATTACGCATATGTCAAGATTCTTGTGGAAGGAAATCGCAACAAGAAAGCCTTGTTGATTAGGGATGTACCCTTGCTGAGATTAAACCTGGTAATCAGTCGGGTAGGGTAATTTCGGGTTGAGAACATCGATTACGGATCGGGTCATGTTTGGTTGGCTCATTTCGGGTAAAATATTGAACCAACCCATACGGTTTCGGGTCGGGTTACAAGTCATTTCGGGTTATGAGCGTTCTTAGGAACAATATCAAACACGCTTCATATTTTCTTAAAGAACACAAATTTTCACATATGCATGACAATA